TATAATATTGTGTTATTTGAAAAATTAGAAGAATAATGAAATTTATCATAATTGCAATGATAGGCTCAAACATTTCTGTATAACTTTTGATGTAATATTTCATTAAAAGTGGTGTGTGTAGGTGAGTAAGCCAAATAACTCAAAGCCATTATTTATGAATAAATATCAGTGTCAGTAACTTTCTGTATGTGGTTGTAATTTGGAATTTTACCATTACAGTCAACCACATTTGGATTCTGAAGCAACTAAATATTAAACTTTGTGAAGTTGTGTTATGAAGATTTTAATTTTCATATCAGGACATGATGATGCTTTGGTTATATACAATTCTAGGCTTTTAAATATTTGAAAAATAAAGGAAACTAAGCCTGTCTCACTTTTATCAAAAATATTCTAAAATACAAATTTAACTCACGGGATTTAAAATTTTTTAGAAGTGGAATTATATTATTTAAAAAGTTCGCAAATAATTGATTAATGTTCAGTGAGTAACCGACTGAACTGAATAATTAATTCAGAAACAGCAAAGTAGACAATTATGATTTTAGTAATTACAGCATTCTGACTCATATCAAGTCATCGTCAGTTAAGAGTTATGTTAAAGACTTAACTCTCACCTGATGGTAACTCGATACTATGGATCAAAACATTGTAATTATTAAAATCAGAATTTGCGTACTGTCAAAGTTGCTGTTATTGTATTTTTAAATTAATATAGGACTGATTGCTTTTTGAGCTTTCATCGTAAAGAGAATTTCATATTGTATTTGAAGTGAAAAGGATTAATTTACTTTGTAGCATTAGGGAATTTTTTACCCTTATTAACACTGTGGTAAAGAGAGCACTGATTTTGGCTTGTATGCACAATGTTTCAGTATAAATTGTTTGTATAATGTGTTCTTATGCATTAAAATATTCAGTTAACACAATACTTAATTTCATGTGATTTCATTTCCCACATCAGTGACAAAATGACAGGATGTAAAACGTTCTGAATTAGATACATAAATTTATTTGTGTACCTAAGAACAGATGAATGATAGGTACCAGCATCTTATCTCATTTTTGTCTCATGCTATAAGGAATGAGAGAATTACTGTGCCAACAAGTTCTTACTGTATTTGGATGATTTTTAACAAGTTCATGTTCACGTATGTGAAAACACATTAATTTTTCTTGAGCAAAAGTTTTAGTTATTAGCTTCCTTTTAATTCTAAAATGGAATTAAAAAACTTAAGGATTTCTCTTTATTAATGTTATCTGTGTCTACAGTCTTGTCTAGTCTCCCAGTTGTTCAGAGATTAAAACGTTCCTGTAAAAAGTCTTGTTTTTGTTATTTATTTTACTGCTTTGTGTAGTGCAAAAATATTGAACATTTACTGTTCTAAGCTATATATTATCAAGTTTATTCAATGTATAGTTTTGATAGCTACTAGGTGTTTTGTACAGCTATTTAAGAAATTCTTGGTTGTTTCAATTCTCATTTGTGGAAAGAAATAAAACAAAGTCCAAGGAACTCTGTATTTTCATGTAAATGATTTGTGTTGCTACTGTAAATAAAGTTTGGTTCTCCTAGTGTATATTTACTGGGCGTTTTTTTTCCCTACACATTTAAGCTCAAAATTTTTAAATTCACAGAAGTTACACTCATTATCCTATGCATTTAATTTTGTTATAAATATTTTTGTATTTGATTTTAAGAATTCTGCAAGGATTGGTAGAGTTTAATTGATGTAACTTTAAAATTTTAGTCCCTAGTTAAAGTTATTTTGAACAGATTTGGTAAATACAATGGTATTTTAATATCAAGCAACAACTTACATATATATATATACTCAGATTGATATTAATGGTTATTTTTTCACCAAACATATTTAAAATTGTCTCTTCACATACATATTTTCTTTTGGTTGTACATGTACAATTGAAAAATAATTGTTATAAAAGCCAAAAAGATTCACTATGGGGTTTTCAAGTAAAAATTTTAATCATCAGAAACTTTTTCTTTTATAATTTGTTAAAAAATACTGAAAATCCATAATTCCATTTGAAAGTTAAAAAGGTGAGCCTTTGTAAGTTTATTATTTATTAGATAAGAAGGTTATATTGTCTGTTTGTTGATTTTATCTTGATAGAAAATATTAAGTTAAAAAAATTCATTATTTCATTAAAATTTCTTGATATTTTTAGTGGCAATATTTTAATCCTTCCAATTTAGTTTATTGTAAAATGTATTTCACCAATAATGTTAAAAACAAAATATCCATAGTGTTTTTAGCAAATAATATGACCACTTTCGGAGCTGTGTTTGTTCTGGTCGATTTCAATTTGTTAATAATGCTGCAAAATTATATTATGCAACAGAAAAACCAGAGATTTGCATTAATGTTTTAACCCTCAAAAGTTGGATTAGTTTGAAGAATGCTTTATTTCTCTCATAAGTAAAAAATCTAATGATTTATTTATCTTGGTGTTTATAGTTTTCAAAACTTATTGCACTTTAAAATTATATTCCTTCTGCTATAAAGACTATTTTCAGTTAGCATTTAAGAATTATTAGCATTAAAAATGTAAAGAGTTAATTAAGTCTAACTATTTGGTGGAAAATTTTTAGCAGGTATAGATCTGTTTTTCTTTTCTCATGAATAGTTGTTTTCTAATGGCTGAATAAACGTTTATTATCGTTTTTTATAATCTAAAGTATTAAGACTAAGTATGGTTGTAAAGTTTCAAAAATTCATGATGCAATTAAAATAGTGGAGTCTTACGTTTTTGGTAAACTGTAATTCAAATTCACAGTTGGCTGTTTTTTTTATTCCAGAATGATTAATTCGTTTGTGTATAAAAATCGATTATATAATTAATAAGTAAAGGGACAATTTTTTTTTATGTCTCTCAGTGACTCAGTGTAAGATTGAGTGTTTGTAATGCAAAAAAATATGGGTTTGATAACACAGATAGCCCTTTGTGTAGCTTTGCACTTAAAAAAAAACAAACATGTTTTTTACTTAATGATCAGTATGAAATCCCACAAATAGTCAGTAATGTTGACTTTGTGTAATGTATAAAAATTCAGTATCAAGAAAAATCCAAAGGGTTTTAAAGGCATTAAGCCTTGGTACTTTTATGTGAATAGTTTTCGATCGTTAGGAGTAGTCTTTCTTTTACGGGTACAGTAATTAAAAAAATCTCTCATTAAAATCATAAAAAGTTAGATTTTATTTTGTTAAAATTTTGTACCAGTTCACATCTGTCATTTTTGCCAGATTGAATAATTGTTTATGTCCTGTAGAAATCCACAATTCATTAATAATAGGGATAACCTACAAACTCTTAATTTTGTTTAAAAGCTTAGCTCATTCATGTCACATAAGAACCCCATTGCCCCAGTAGTGGCCGAATACTTAGTGTGCCCGAACTGTTAATCCTAGCATTCTTGGATCTCAATCCGTTGAAAAAAATATCTTTCCTTACTTTGCAGGAGTGGTTATGATATATAGTGCGACGGTCAAATCCAGCAGGTCAAATTTCTGTCTTTATTGACCAGTTTAATTTGTGGTAATGACTGAAGGAAAATAATGAATAAAAAAATCCAAAATTTGACTGTTGGATGTATGAACTAAACTTTTATCTATGTTCTCATGCTTGTGTTTTTTACCAAAATAATTACTGTGTATAAATATCTATTAGATAAAGAGGTCTGTCTAATCATGACAAGGATAGTGCTTTATTAATACCCGTATTTATTAAGTTTGTAGGATAGTGCTTTATTAATATCCGTGTTTCTTAAGTTTGTAGGATAGTGCTTTATTAATACCCGTAATTATTAAGTTTGTAGGATAGTGCTTTATTAATACCCGTATTTATTAAGTTCGTAGGATAGTGCTTTATTAATACCCGTGTTTCTTAAGTTTGTAGGATAGTGCTTTATTAATACCCGTATTTATTAAGTTCGTAGGATAGTGCTTTATTAATATCCGTATTTATTAAGTTCGTAGGATAGTGCTTTATTAATACCCGTATTTATTAAGTTTGTAGGATAGTGCTTTAGTAATACCCGTATTTATTAAGTTTATAGAATAATGCTCTAGTAATACGTATTTATTATGTTTGTCAGACAGTGCTGTTTTAGAAGAAATTATTTGATTACTTCTAGTATTTTTTTTGGTCTCGTCATAAGGCACAATTGTACAAATTCTTTGTGCCAAATTGTATGGACTATTGTTTTTGTATAAGACGAGTGGCATGAATACGAGTTCAGTGTTGTTATATAGATGTTTGTATATATCTTTTTTGTTGGATTTCTTATTAATATATAAGAAATCATAGTTCACCAATGTTCATTTTCATTGTGAATTTCCTGAAATTATGTAAATAAAATATTTAAAAAAAAGTGTAGGTCCTTCGTTGATTTGTATCGAAATTTAAAACAATAATCTTAAACACCTCTTTTAAGTTTATCCTATGTAGTTTTCTAGTTATTTTTCCAAGTTTTTCTTACGGTTTCGTATGATTCTTCTTCCAATTGTCCCGCCATTAGGCTGGCATAAGTGGCAGCTAT